TGTAGCTTAAAAACAGAACAGCTGAATTCTAGTTGAAATTATCTATTCTTTCAAAACTAAGAAATACTTACCAAGAAAACGATAAAAAATTTATTAATCATCAGCACAAATGACACTATTTCAAGTAATTTGGTTGATTCTTTATTGTTGTTTTCCGAATTATATAGATACAGAAATATATACTGTTCTATAACAAAGAAGAATTCTATAACTATTGCAGTTCTTGACGTTCTGAATTCACATTTATTTATTGGAATGACGAAAGCAATGTTGACTTCATTTTAATTTGTAATGAATTGAAGACAGAAAAAATTATTTTACCGTAATATACACATCTGTAACAGCAAGTGATCACCAAATTGTAAATTATGTTGTTGGTAATAGAAAGGTAAAAATTATGGAGAAATTGTTCTTCAAATGCTTGGCGTGTTCTGCTTCAATGTCAGGCATGTTCTGGATAGTTTATCAAGTTCTTCAGCTTTTCAAGTTCTTCAGCTTCAGAAATTTTGATTTTTATTTGCTGCTAAGAAAATGGCGTCCGTCATGGCCAATGATTTTCATGGAACTAAATGAAAACGTGATAAATTAATGTCTGATATTTACAGGCTCCCGCTAGAGGGCGTACTCGAGCGTTGCGATCGCGAATTTAAAAATCGCATATACTAATGAATAAAGGGATGCCTGCAAGTGACGTAGTGTGGGTATCCTGATACTGATTGGTTGTTGAACCGTGGCATCTGTTTACGTTAGCATTTGTTCATTCCATTCTATATACAAAGATTTTTTTTCTCGGAGATTTCAATTATTTAACTAAACAAAAATCTTTTTCATATAAGAATCAAGTGTTAGTTTATGAAAACAGTTGAAAACGATACAAAAATACTGATTTAAAATAATTTTTCAACCTATACTGAAGTGATTATTTTTTTTTTAAATTATTGGCATTATTATTTTTACGTTTTAAAAGCACATGGTGAAACGATTAATTGATTTTATCAAATTGAACAGAAGGCTAAATTGCATTTCTCTGTTGATAAAAAATAGCATTTAATATTTTTTACACTCAATGTAAAAACAAAACTATTATTGTTGCTTACAGACTGATCGTTGTGCATTAAAGATTAAGACGCATTTCTGAAATAGTTTCAGAAGATGATAGTTCAAGCACAAGTAGTACAAAATTAAGAAATGTACCTATGTGTTTTCACTATGATTTAACACAGTGGTTACCAACTAGCGGCCCTCGGGCCTCATCCGGCCCGCGAAGCCTTTTTTTTGTGGCCCGCGAATAATATAGTAGTTATAATTTTTTTGCTGACAATTTTCGTAAAAAAATCTATATGGGTTTAAAATACTTTTCTTTCGTAAAAAAAAAACAACCTAATTTCTTCATTTTACTGAAATTTAACATACCAACGGTAAAAAAAATTATTTCTCAGGTAAAAATCCACTTCTTATTTTAATTTGTAATACAATACTTTTGTTTTGTACAACTTGATAAAAGTCTGACAATAATATTTAATGTTCCTTCAAACATAGAAGAGTTCTATATAAAATGTTGATAAAGTTGCGTCCCGCCATTTGACTGGTGTTTTAAATTGCTGCCCCCTGTCTCATGTAAGTTGGAAACCCCTGCTTTAACATAAACTGAAGTACTCTTCCACCTAATAAAGTTTATTAATTTCTTGCATGCATTATTGTTTTTAATTTAAATTTATTGTTTATTATAGGTTATGTGTGCAAAGTTCATGAATAGAATTATCATTATCGTAATAATAAGAAAACAGAATTGAGGAAATAAAGAATTTTTTAGTTATAATAAATAACAAAATAATAGTTGTAAATAAATAAAAAAATATACTAGAATTTCTTCAAAGTTTTGTCAACTCCAGTTACTCCACAAATTTTAACAGAACAGAGGTTTTAGAATGCATTCTATTGATTCATATTAGATAACATTTAATCTGTAGATAATTGGATACTTTCAAGTGATCACGTTTAGGTAAATCGTGCCATTTTTCAATTCAGAAGCCAATCAGGTTCAACACACATATACGTTGCTAACAAGTATCTAATTAAATCTAATTTAAATCATATGGTTTGGCGTAAAGGCTTCACTTCTTAAGCTACAAGTACCCAATTCAATTTATGCGCATGACGTCTATAATCAAGTGTAATTTTTTTTTTAAAAATTTGTAACATTGCATGCCTATTAACTATACTCTTTGGCCAAGCATTAGTTACTACTCGACATATCATGCTTACGTTGCAAGGAAAAGCAATAGTGATTAAACTGTTTTAGCAGAACAAGCAGTAATGCGTTACCACAGCCGAAAATATGATTTATCGATTAGAGCAGAGGGGGCCAAACTGCGGCTCTTTCAAGGATTATTTGTGGCTCCAATATTAAACAAGAAAAACTCAACGAGTATATAAAGAAGTTAGAAGGAATATTGGCGGAATTCCAACATAGATTTAAAGACTTGGAATATTTTTAATCGTCTCTTGATTTCCTTCTGAATCTATTTGAAATTAACATAATTGAAGGTGAGTGTTTTCCATTTCCAAAATAATTATGACCAAAAAAGCATCTGGAGAGTTGGAATTAATAGAGATGCAAGAAGATCAAGCACTACAATTAAAATGTAAGTCGACGTCGATTACTGAATTTTGGAAATTTGTACCTGAATCGAAGTATCCTGAATTAGAAAAGGCTGCTTGTCGAAATATTTCAATATTCGGAACAACGAACTTATGTGAATCATTTTATTCCACTTTAAAATTCGTGAAATCCAAATACAATCTCAAAGAATTACTGAGAAGTGCTGTCACCAATTATTCACCAAATTTTAAAGAATTATCAAGAGAAGTTAAATAAATGTGTTTAATTTTTAATATTTAAATTCAATACACATATTTTGTACTTTTAACTATATGTTTTCAATAAATATAATTATTGTAAAAAAAAATTTAATATCTTTTTTGCATACCTTTTAAATACGTATTTAATTGCGGCTCGCGAAAAATTTTAAATTTTGAAAAATGGCTCGACTATTAAGGAGCTTGGCCATCCCTGGATTAGAGCAAAATGCTAAGAATGAAAGAGACATATTGAGAAGATTTAATGCTACTTTGCAATACAACTTAACATTTGCTAAGCATATTAAATGTGTTTATGTCAATTATCGCAAAAACCTATTGACGGAATTTTGTACCGAAATTTTTTTATCAATGTTAAGCTCATCTTTGAAATTATCTGTTGTTTCAAATTTCATCTCATTTAGACCACATCGCTTTCTAGAAAAGCTGGAAACTTATTTCTTGTTCACTATAAAAATAATCAAACTTTCAGTTTTACATTATACAGAATAAATAACCCCACACTAAAGAACAAACTTTAGAAAAATAGATGCAAGGAAAGCAACTATTTATTAAACCACTAAATATAATACAGAAATATACCCTTTGCAAATCCAATTTGGTCCGAAGTAACAACGCAATCTCGTACAAGCAATCAATTTCCGTATCTACAGTCACAAATGAGACAGAATAACCAGTTGATCACTTAGATTTGTAACTAATAAGCTTCGAGTCAGTATGTTTTAGTTAATGATGCCTCTAACTTTACCTTAAGCTGTATCGACTTTACTAACCTACTATTTCAATTATTCATTAATTTCTGAACTAATTTGAAACATGGCGCTGGTATTAATTGGCTGTATGGAATAGAATTGTGGAACAAGCCAGGGACCACAAAAGGTTATAGAAGAAGACGAATATGTATTAATTGAAATTTTTAAAAAATTAACTTATGCAGTAAAATTCAAAAATAATTGTGGAAAAGTGTGTGTCGTTTTAAGGAAGCGCAAAAAAATTGCCATATTATTATTGCCACTAATGCTTAGTTAATATTAAAAATATGAAATTGAAATGAAGCAAAATAAGCTATGTGCTAAAAAGCAAAGTTAGTGGAGAAAAGATTAATCTGAAAGTCGTTTAGGAAAACCGTAGAAAATGAGTTGTAGAAAATGAACTATTATTATGGTAATCGGTGCAGTTTTGATAAAAATTCACCATTGGATTTTCCGTATTTCAGAAAATAATTTTTCAAATGGTAGTAATTATCGTGTACTAATATTTTATTGAATTATAATTAAAAGAACTTTTTTCCACTACTACTTATAAATATTTTAAAAGTAAAGTTAAGGTGAGTTAGAGAAATGGCCACGCTCCAAAATCCTTATCAAGTTCTAATAAGAATTCTATTTTTTTTTTAATAAAAAAAATCGTTTTTAGTTGGCTGCCACTGTCGAATGTATTTCGCACTAAATTTGAAAGTTGAAGGGTTGCACTATTGTATTGATACATTTTGCTTTGGCTATATTAATGCAATATTAGAAAGCACTCTTTTTTACGGATATAATCATGCGAGCTAATGACGAGATTATATCTTTTCCTTGTTTTGTTTTCCAGTTTTTTAATAAAGAGCTGGCAATCGAACTAGAATTACAATTAAAAGAACTGAACAATTTAATGCTCTTAAATCAGGAAATTATCCATGTTGCTAAATAGTACAAAATAGTTCACTTTCTTTTATTAAAGAACCCTTTGCATTTCTGCTAAAGGTGTCGTGTACTTTAATGGACACAACTCTCCGGTAAATTTAATAATATACATGATACAATGCAATTCGATACAATTGACAAAAATTTATAACTTCGTTAAATATTTTTATTAGCTGTCGTTTATGAATTGTTCGTTTTTCCGATTCCGAATATGGGCTTGAATTCAATGTCATGTTGGTTTCAAACTGTGTCACCAAAATTAGCAATATGCTGTTTAATAATTGTTTTAAATTATTAGCTACTACATTATTTATGCATACAAAAATTTACTTCATTTAGTTCTCACCAATTTGGCTAAACATGGTGACAATTTAGCATGTGTTCTTTTATAGTGGGAAACTTAACCTTACAACTCTAAATATAATCACATAGCAATTTGTATTTATTTGTTTTATTCTTAGACATAATGACAAAGGATAAAAAGTGCAAAATGAACCTCATTGCTCTAAATCTGTCTTTCCAGTTCAATAGTCAAACATAACTGAGAGAGCGAGGCGTGGTTTTAAGATAATCAGACAGAGAAACTCGAGCAATATTCTTTTTGTAATCTGCAATGGCCATACGCAAAAGACATAAAGCAGCAAGTATCTGAAATGCAGGCATGATCAGCAAAGCATTTCTGTAATTGAATTTAACAACGTGAATATAAATTATAGGTGCTAAACTGCTTCCAATAAGTGCTGCCCCTTCCACAATTCCAGCAACAGTCGACAATCCACGAACACCCCTCTTTATCATTCTATGTGTGCCTAAGTCTGCAGAAACAGATAATTTTAATAGAATGTATGGTGCTTCCACAAAAAGACCGAGAACAAAATGGAGGATAACTGCAAAAACTCCGTGAGTCTGCAACAAAAATAAGTTGAATTCATTATTACACGACTGTAAGGTATTTAATAATATCGAGAATAGTATCATGTAAGGAAAAAATGCTATTGGGTGTACAAATTAGTTCGGTCCGTTTTTTAAAATAAGCTCTGCTGTTATGAATGTTATATAGTGACAGCTGGCTTCGGTGGTTTCAGAGAGGTTAAACATCTGTCAATAATATTCATTTTATATCGTTTTGATTTCATACAAAAACCCTGTTTTTTGCTTTGTTGAATATGTCAAATTTTGCGGTAATGAAGCACCATTTGCGGGAGGTTTTATGTTTCTGCTTCAATTGGAAGAAAAGTGCAGTTGAAGAGCATCGATTGCTTGTAGAAGTTTATGTTGACAATGCTCCAACTGATAAATCATGTAGGGAACGGTTTCGACGTTTCAAGAATAGTGAATGGTGAATGAAGAATGGTAAATGGTAAATAATAAATGGTGAATATTTTTGTATACTATGAGCTGCTACAACCTGGTGATTCCATTACTTGCGATCGGTATAGGCTACAATTGATTCATTTGAGCCGTGCATTACGAGAAAAAAGGGCGGAATACGAGCAAAGATATGACAAAGTTATTCTTCTGCATAATAACGGTCAGTCTGATGTCTCAAAAGTCGTAAAAAATTATTTGGAAACGCTCAAATGGGATATTTAACCGCACCCGCTCTATTCACTGGACATTGCTCCTTCTGATTACTGGTTGTTCCGACGGATACAGCTTGATTTTGCAGCTCACCAGTTCACTTCCTTCGCAGAAATCGAAAATTGGCTTCTAACTTGGATCGCCTCAAAAGACGAGACGTTTTTTCGAGATGGAATTCTAAAATTGCCTGAGAGACGGGAAATAGAAGTACCCAGCGATAGATAATACTTTGATTAATCTGTTCACTCATTTTGTTCTGAAATAAATGCATTTTCGACCACACAAAAAACGGACCGAATTAATTTGTACTCCCAATGCATTAGTTTTGAAGTAAAATAAAGTTTTTTTTTTAACTTTTATCATAAAGAATTCACTGTAAAAAAATTTTTTCATAAGAAAATACTAGTTGGTGAATCGAACTGATGACTCATTATCATGCTATCATTTATTGTACTATTTTTTTTTACCATAAAAACCATATAAACTTTTGTAACACTTTAGCATGAAAACAGTATGTCATAAAATTGTTAAAAATATGAGCTATGTTGATATTTTATCCTAACCCAAATTACTTGACAGCCTGAAAAGATGAAATTGAAATAGATGATTGAAATAGATGATTGAAATAAATGAATATATTGAAATAGATGTTTATGCTGCTTATTGAAATAGATGTTTATGCTGTTATTTCATAAATAACTGCACGTTATTCACTTTGTGACGATTAACCTCAAAAAGAATCCAAACATTGTTTCGAATACTAATGTTCTGAACATTTAAATATGCTTGTATGAGAAACACATTTTATTCGCTCAACTCATTTAAAAATGAGCCTACTGTATTCAACTAGTATATATTATCGAAAATAATGTTAACTAAAGATCTAGGTCAACACGTGATAGTTAAGTTTCTCCACAATTAAGCAATTTTTTCCGTTAATTTGTTATAGCTTTAATTTTAAAAAAAATATTGTAAATAAATTTTCGCTAAATTTAGAGTTTTAAATTTACAAAAACTAGTTTTCAAAACATAAATATCAACAAAGCAAACGTGTAGTTGGATGACATTACACCCCCCTTATAACAGAAACTAGCCACATTGATTTCAATTGTGAAAACCTAATACAAGAGAAATCATTGATAAACTATAAATTGAAATGGTAATAAGCTCCCGATGAAACTAATTTTTGATTAAATAGAGCTGACAAAAAAATTAATTAATTTAAAAAAAAGTAAGCCAATTAAAGTAGCTGACTGTATTATAGTTAACTAGATATTGCGGCTTTTAAAAGATTCAAAAAATAACAATATTGTCTTCAGCTTGCATTACAACAATAATCACAATGTTAATTCTAAGAAATTTTCTTTTTCCTTGGGTTGTAGCACACTAATAGGTGATCAGAGAAAATTAAAAGGTTTATAGAAGTTGTGATTAGCATGCCCAGAAACGCGCCATGCTTCCTAAGAGTTGCTTTAAGTAATCTTTTTCTACCAATGCCAAAAATTGGATACTTCACATTTTTTATGTAAAATGTTAATTTATTTCTATAGATCCCCCTAGTAGTTAGAATTTTCTGAAAATGTTTCACGTGGGGGATTTCTTCAAAGTTAATTCAATGAAATGAAGAAAAAAATTTGTATGCTTATCTCAGAAAAAGTGTGTTTTTGCATAGGAAAAAATGCATAATCCGTTTTGCATAATGTTTTCCACTAAGAATATTCCACCAAGGTTAAACTTCCTTGTTATGCTCAATATAAAAGATTTCAATGAGACATTGTCATAACACTTCAGGGCATGAAATTCTAACTAATTGTATAAAAGTCATTAGAGTTAAGTTCTATTTTATTCGGTGTATCGATATTTTAAATTAAGGAAATCAGATACAAAAAAGTACATTCTCTGAAACTCTCTTTCTAGAGATATTCAAATTATTAAATATCAAAATATGGACGTAGTTAAATACGTTAAAGAATTATGAATTCATAGAGATCATTAAATTAATATTGCGCTTGCGTTCTGTGGGCAAACCCGGATTCAACAAAAAGTATTCTATAAAACGCTAAATCATACCCAGTAAAAATTCTAAAAAAAGCTAAATCGTACTTACACAGTTCAGAAATAAGAGTTGTAAATAGATCACTGGAACAGAAATGACCAAGATACATATACATAAAAGAGCACTCTTTTGAAACATATCTTTTAGAACGCCAACTATTAAACCTCCTGTTATGGCTCCAGTGATAAAAGACATTGCATAAAATGCACTCACAGATGGGATTTTTTCCAAATCTTCAAGATTATAGCAATGAAACACATAAGAAAAAAAGTAACTGGTCACTCCGCAGAAGAAGGAGCACAAACTGAACTCAATAACGCCAGGAATTCTAACGGCCTGCATGAAGTTAATACCACGTGAAGGATCCAACCATCTCGGTAATTCCATTTCGCTGTCTGGAAATTTAATAAACATATATTTTACTATGACACACGATTAGGACGAATGTAAATATATGTATATATTCGAAATTATTACAAACATTACGATAGAAGTCGCGATGGCTCAGGGAATAGAGCGTTCTCCATCCAATGAGGTGAACCGGGGTTCGATCCCGGCAATGGCTGGTCGATACGAATTCCGCATCCGGCTTCCACAGACCACAGTGCTGACGTGAAATATCCTCAGTGGTAGACGAATCATGGGTTAGAGCTCCATTGCCGTCAGGCTAACAGTGGGAGGTTCTGGTGGTCCTCCTCTCCGTGTAACTCAAATGCGGGTTAGTTCCATCAAAAAGTCCTCCACGAAGGCAAATTTCTCCCAATACTTGATCCAGAAGTACCCTTGTCCTCTGGATTGGGTTCAAAATTACAAGTCTACAGAGTTGAACATTAGTAGTCGTAAACCCAAAAATTGGGTCGGCTGTTCAACGACGGTTATAAAAACATTACGATAGGGGAAGGGATAGCCTGGTTGGTAGGGCACTGGGCCCATGTCCAAGAGTTTGTGGGTTCGATCCCCGCCGGCTGAAGACTTCCCGGGTAGTAAATGGTGACTGATGCACGCTAAATCTGTCTAGTCGCAAAGTCCTCCATGTTAACATAACAAATCAACACCTCTGGGGGTACTGATCCAGGAGTATCCTTGATTGGTTAAAAATGACAAGGCTACGGAGTTGGACATTTGTTCTCGTAAACACAAAATGAGGTCGGCTGTTCAAAAACGAATATAAAAAAAACATTACGATAAATGATTCACATAAATTAAAAAATATGTATATCTGTTTTGTTTTTCTTCAGTAGCAAATTTTTGACGTGTGACCCTATATGCTAAGCGTCAATCAAATTCGTACCCCATATGTTGTAGTTTCACACTGCCACTGGCGCTTATTAAAATTCCTTCAGTGTTCCCGGCAATGCGGCAGTGGTTGTTCATATATGCAGTTCCACATATGGCAAATTGTTTTACTTAGCCATTAATGGTTTTATGAGATTACTTAAAAAGACGCTGTTAGAAGCCATCGATGACAAAAAAAAAACTGCAAAAACTAAACATTTGTGCAGTATTAGAGACGAATCCCCTTGCAAAACTACGTAATTTGAGGAAATTTACCAAACTTTTTTCAAATGCAAATGTTCCATATGTAACCCTTTACATTAGATCAAAAAACATCTGATCTGCAATCAAAAATGTACGTTAGATAACAAACATCTAATCTGTAATTCACATATTTTCAAATCACCAATGAAAAGGAAACCGAATTCACCATTGATAGTTTCTCCCTGTGAACAGCGTACGCTTAATTCTGTTACTTCCTCTAAAAAAATATTTAACACCGCATAATGCCACCAATTTTAAAACCGTTAATGAATATTCCTTTCTCTAGTCAATATTATCGTTACACATTTCTTTGTTAAATTTATTTTTTATAAGCTGCTTTCAACTACCAGTTTGGTCACCTTTGGAAAATTATAGTGTGCACATAGAGTTTAACGGCAACCAAGCAAATTGCATTAAATTAATCCAATTCTTCAACCCCTCCTTCAATTCCAACACCTAATTTAGTCTTAAACTATGTATTAACCAAATTTCTAGCCGAAATACTTTTATTTTAAATTGAACAATTTTCAAAAGATGTCAGCTTTATTATCAAAGAAATAATTTAAAAGACGCCCGATGACTGAGTTGTAGCGCTTCTCACTCCCGTGCCACAGGTCCTGGGTTCGATCCTCGGGCCGGGTAAAGTTGACTCAGCCTTTCATCCCTTCAGTGGGTCGATAAATGAGTATCAAGCATTCTTGGGAACTAAACACTGGGGGTTCCTCGTTCGGCTGACCACCTAACCGGAACCCAGAGCCCAAGGTCAAGAAAACTGAGATGGGCACAGTAGGCCTTGGGCCAATATATATATATATATATATATAT